ACGGAAATGTGCATGCATCCGTCATATAGCACACTGATATTTCCCGAAAAAAACATCTCAGTGCATTTCGGTGTCGACATATAAAACCCCTTTTCTATGTTCGAAAACTTTCTGACAGAAAAATGACATTGGTCCAAATTCCGCTGGCTTTAAATAGCTACTGGATAGCAGCTTAATCTGCCATCACATTAAAGTTCTTCGTGTTAAGAGGGCAACCTCCTTCCTGTTAAATTTCTTCTCGATCTTTCCGTATCTGTCCCTGAGTGAAGTTATCCATTGCGTTTGTATGGAATTCAGGACCTGTTTAAGAAATATGTTTCTGGTTATTAAGAACTGTCCTAAATGTAACATTCCCGGGCGGTTGTAAAAACTACGTAAGATGTGCTTGTGTAGCCGCACATGATGGACACAATACTATTGACCTACTTAACTATTTTCATTCGGTGTGGTCACATTGGCATGATTTTGCTGTGCGTTGCGGCGTGTATTCTGTTGGCGGCCTTGTTTCTTTGTTGACGTGCCTACCTTTTCGGCTCAATGCCGGTGGTCCTTCTTGAATTTCAGTCTGTCTTCACCTTCTAACTTTCACGTATGATGCCTCAGGGTTAGGGTTTAGGGCTGCAGTTAAGGGTTAGGGTTAGAACAACTATCTCTCAATCACTCAAAGTACAACCGCGCATCCCCAATACCTTTTCTTTTGCATACAATTACCTGACCTCGTCGCCTGGGCTTTTCCCGGTCCCACCTGCAAAACTCTTATTACCACCGGTCCCTTATTACATGCGGCTGGGGTTTGTTTAGCCCAGGTGCGACCAGATAACCACATCTGACCGTACGTTACATAGACCTTTCAACGTCTGGACATAATTTTAAGAGCTTACGAGACAGGAATTGATGAAATCTTTGTACTTTATATCTTTGGTCATATTAGGAACAGTCGAAGCGGAGATTTACGAGTAGAAGATACTGTGACCTACCCTGAACCGCCTTGATACTGAAGAGAGACCAAATAGTACCTCTTATTATCTAGCATGACTTAAGTAACAAATTGCCTATTGGGCCATATTTGACTTTGATAATTTGTTTCACGTATCATTCCCACAACAATCTAATTAAACAACGCTGCTCAAGGCTGAATTAAAGTACATGAAATTTAGGGACAAAATTAACTACTATTTCGTCGGTATCGGTGCCTGCAGGAATAAAACCTGTTCAAGAAAACGAGTCAGTAAATAATAAAAGCCTACTTATACCGCCTGTTTCTATGCGCAAAGAGAATTTGTTAGTGATTCCGCAATAGCCGTGGCTCACGATTAATTAATCAGGCACTGCATACTATGCAACGGAAAGCCGTTTTTCTCAGTCTCTTGCCCGCCAAGACAGCTCTCGCAAACATCCACGCGGCTGGCCGCATTGCCTGGTGTTCACACTGAACAAACTCGTCATCCGGCCCCTCTTCTCCCTTTCCCCTCAAAATTTAGTTCACAATACAAGTGATGCTACGACTTACTGAACAAGCAAACATCTACCAAAGGTATCCGTCTAATGTGCCTTGCTAAAAATTAATTGATATAAAAGTTTTCGAAATTCGAACGCATTCATATTATTAACCCAGCGACACCTGCACCACAGTTGAGTACCAGGAACACCGCATACCTTTGTCGCGCTAATGTTGTGAGGCAGAAATGTGTTCAGAATTAATGCCATCTAGTTTAGTATATTTGAGGGCAATCGGTATTCATTTTGGAGATCATAAAAAGTGAACCCGATGCGCAGCAGGGTCCAAGAAAGAGGATGATCAACATGGAAGATTAACAGATCCTCGACTCAAAATGACCGGGTCAGTTTATTCATATAAAAATTCCTCCGCAAGTTCAAGCTTAAACCCCGGCTTACTTGCCAGCTTAGGAAATCGACATTATATGGACAAACGCGTTGTAAGGTATGTAACTATTATTATTTTGTCGCCAACTGCTGTTTCGGAAGCGCAGAGCCTTGTTAAATTAGTCGTTAATATTATTCGTCCAAAAGATATAATTTACACAAGAAAACCTATTTGGTCATCACAAAATTCCTAAAAGTGGACGCTAAATGTGAGTTTAGTTTCAAAAATCCCTCCGAACGAGCAGAAAGAGTTTGAACTTCGTCAGCAGTACGCACGTGTAAGCATGTACATTTGAAGATAATAGGTTCTTTAAAAAAGTAAAAACTTATTAGTGCATTTTCGACATCAGTTCTATGGTCGTCATCAGACTTGAGTAATTGTAAAAAATCAGTTAAAATTTCAAACGTCCCAAAAAAATCAATACTCCGGCAATTCTGCCAATAGGCGTACGCCGCACATGTCATTGTGTAACAGTCGGTTCTTGTCTCTTTCACTTTTCCCTGAGACATTTGTGCATGGCGCCTACCTCAATATTTCGATTAATGCGCGTGCATCAGAAACTTTTCCACCGTTTTGACAGGGCAGAGGCTGACGATGCGAGTCTTGTCACATGCAAAAGCATATCCGGTATCTCGTGTGTGCATGGCCATTTAAGATAGGTGTTCTCACCTCTTAACAACTAAGTGGTTTTCGTGATCTCATATGGAGGCGGACCCTTCACTTTCGCCACAAGATACGGCATCGTACACCTCAGGTGAGATTATGTAGACGACTTTCTTTTTCTGCAGATAAACAACCCTAACTATAGGGTGTACAAGCTGATTGCGTGAGTCAGTCGCCGATCCATGCGCTGTTTGTGTTTGATGTTTTTTTAGGTGTCTTTCAACGAGTTCAGACACAGTTCTGATGTAAGGGAGAATTCTCCATGTATGTGTTTTGGACGCCTGCTTGGGACTAGCTAATGCCCTCTCTCTTGACTTGGTTTTTTTGTTATTCTTGTCCGTCCATCAGGTGACAATATTGAATAATGGCTCCCATCTTTTAAGGCCAGTATAGTACTATCTCGGATTGCGTGAAGATTCGAGGTCCAGTTATATTATCGCGATTTCATGTTCTCAGTTGTATTCAGGCTGCCGATTCCGAAGCGCTCTCGTTTTCATCATTGGAGTCGTCTGCTGGCCTATGCTGCTGGCCTTGATTTGTTTAGCCCTGCCGTCTGCCTTGTATTATAACCGTGTTCGGCGCACGTAGGTTGGCCGGCCTGTTAGTTGGTTCTGGACTCTCCGATTTCAACCATTGATGGACTTGCGTTACTTAGATTCCCTTTACGGATGTTATGGTTGCTTGTCGGCCTTCCCCGTCAGACACCGCACTGGTCAATCCTTGCTGCTCAGGCGTGCTGCTTTTAATCTCACGGGTACGTCGGTGTGACAGTGTAACACGCCAGGCAGGTGACTTTAGGTCTGCGCCTCCTTTTTCCACGCAAACTTTGGCTATCGGCCCCGCATGACTTTTTGCCCTTCTTATCGACCCTGTCTGAGTATACTCGGGCCTGTTTCGGGGTGTCTAATAGGCAGGATGTAGGCCTATGGCTCGGTTAAATGGGCCAGTCGAGGAGCAACTTTCCAGGATCAGGGTCGGACGATCACCGTCGGTTTCTCAAAGAAGAAACTATTGTTCTGTTGTTGCATGTGACCATGGCCCAGTAGCTTATCTTTGCGGTTAATTACAAGCTCGTGTTCGTGCAATCTTGTAGAGGTGTAGGAATGTCCAGTGGTCTGTCCATGTGATGTTCGTGGCAGGCCGCTTACTGACTTGCAGGTGTTGACTACGCCTGATGTCCATTAACTGCATCCAACTCTCACATGTAACTTCTTGAAGCTAGGCTCTGCCTAGCGGCTACACCACGGTAGCTGCCTCGAATTGTGGGCTAAGCCAGGCGAGGGTATCCTACGCGCAATAACTCTGCCCCAGCCCATTTCTATTCTTTTCTTCTCCTCCCCCCCCCTTCACTTGTCCCTTCTCTTTACCCCTTCCATATCCCCGTCCAAACCCATTCTCCTCCCGCGTTACTCGCCACCCTGTCACTCCTGACTTTATTCTTTTCCCCCACGGTCGGGAGGTCTAACGGCGAGAGCAACATGCAGTCACGTAGGCGGCCCAGGCCAAGGGCTCCTTCTCTCACTAAACCTATTGACCCAGAGTGGAGAGCGGCAGTGATCCAGTGCGACCAAGCAGCCTTATATAGGGAGAGCACTGCTTACGCCCGCGAGGAGAAGGGGGTTATAAAAGGTGCCCTACAAATGCTGGGTTCACGTCTGCGCGCAGACCGTGGCTCGCAGACTGCAATACCTGCAATCGAAACCAACCAATAGGAAACAAGGCTCTCTTTCCATCCTCCCCCCGCCCCACCCCACAGGTCGCTAGTGTGGGTACGCTCACTCCGGCAGCCTGGAATGTTTGTTCTCTTTTAGACAATCCGAGGAGCGACCGACAGGAACAGATGACGGCGGTAGTGGCTTTCGAACTGGTGCGCTACAAGGTTGACATCGCCGCACTCAGTGAGACCCGGTTCTCCGAAAAAGGCCATTGGAAGAGGTTGGTGCTGACTACACCTCCTACTTGAACGGTCGCCCTAAGGCAGAGCAACGTAACTCGGGCATCGCCTTTGCCATCCGGACCGACATCGCGGGACGACTGGCCTGTCTGACGCAAGGCATCAGCGATCGCCTTATGAGCCTGCTTCTTAGGAGATGCAAATTCTCCACCATCGTCAGCGCTTATGCCCCAACAATGACCGACTCAGACGAGGCGAAGCCCAAGTTCTACGAGGACCTGTACGCCCTTCTGGCGTCTGTACCGAAGGCGGATCATCTGATTGTCCTTGGTGACTTCAGTGCACGCCTCGAGACGATGTGCTGCCTGAAAGGGAGTGCTGGGTCCTCACATAACCGCCGGTTGCAACGGCAATGACCCCTCCTGCTGCGGACCTGCGCCGAACACGGACTCATTCTGACCAACACCTTCAGCCTACCGACTCGGATGGCTTGCAATGCCAAGGAGATCTAGGGATATGCCGACTGCAACTAATCCTAAAACTTCTTTATTGCGACCAGGACGACCTACGACCTCCAACGAAATAAATCGCGCCAAGCCCAATGGATCAATGCTTTTGCGGAAAAGTCGGAGATTCTGAAGCGTTGGGCTGAGCACTTCAGAAGCGTCCCCAGCTGTCCCCTCACAGTCTCCGACGCCACCATTGGCCGGTTCTCCCAAGAGGAAATCTACACCGACCTGCATCTCCCACCCTGTCTCCTAGAAATCATTCACGTCGTGTAAAAAATCTCCAACAGGAAAGTATCAGACACCGATGCCATCCCAGATGAAATCTACAAACACGACGGCCACCGACTGATGCACCAAATCACGGCCCTATTTCAAGAGATGTGTCGCTGCGGACAACTTCCTCAGGATTTCACGGACGTTACCATCGTCCGTCCGCGCAGGGACAAAGGGAACCGGCAGCTCGGTAACAATCACAGAGGCATCTCGCTACTCAACATCGCTGGAAAGATCTTCGTCCGCATCCTCCTCAATAGTCACAATGGTCACCGGAGCACGGACTTCTGCGTAAAGTCAGTGTGGATTCAGCAATACCGCGCAACCACTGACATGTTATTTGCAGCGTGCCAGCTACAAGAGAAATGCCAGCAGACGCGAACTCCCCTCTACACCACCTTCATGGATCTGACGGAAGCCTTCGACATGCTGAATTGCAGAGGACTGTGGAGAATCATGGAGAGGTTTGGATGTCCCGAGCGATTCGCGAACATGGTACGTCAGTTCTATAGTGGGACGTTGGCGTACGTCACGGACTAAGGCGCAATCTCCGAGGCGTTCGCAGTGTCCGCTGGAGTAAGGCTGGGCTGCGTCCTCGCGCCTACCCTCTTCGGTCTCACTTGCTCTGCCATGCGGATGCACGCCTACCGTGATGAGCGCCCCAGGATGCGCATCGCCTACAGAACCGATGGGCACCTTCTCAACAGCCGACGCATGCAGGCCCCCACGTGACCATCTACGACTACCGTCCACGACCTGCTCCTTGACGACCACTGCGTACTCAACAGCATGGACCTCCTTGCCACCTGTTGCGACCAATTCGGGTTGGACATCAGAACGGACATTAACATTCATCGATCACTGAACACAGTTCTTTTCACATCCCCGTTAACGACACCGAAATGAAACCAGGGGGTTACTTCAACTACCTAGGCAGCACAATGTCACCCTGCATCAGAATCAACGACGAGGTGGCCCACCGAATCACCAAAGTCAGCCAAGTCCTCGGTAGGCTGCAGAACTCCGTCTGGAATCGACACGGCCTTCAACTGAACGCCCAATTGAAGGTATACAAGGCTGACGTGCTGACGATATTTCTGTACGGGGCGGAGGCTTTTACCGTCTACTTCAGTTATGCCAGAAAGCTTAACCACTTCCATCTCAGCTGCCTTTGCCGAATACAAAAATGAAATGGCAAGGCAAGATCCTCGACACGAAAGTTCTAGAACGGGCCGGGATCCTTAGCATTCACGTCATGTTGACACAACTGTGGCTACGTTGGAACGACGATGGAAGACAAACTTCTTGAGGAAGAAGATATTATCGTTGGAACAAGAGCTTAATTAGCCTGGCGTTTCCGATTCCTGCTCGAACACATCATCAGAGACAAAAGCATATACGGGTGGTTCATGCAAAATGGGATGCACTAGTTATAGGTGCTGTCGCCATGCTACCGCATACCTATGAATATTAACGGCTCCGCCCTTCATCCGGCATTGTTGCACTTAGTTTGGTGACTGTTTGATGGCCGACATTCGCGCCGTTAATTGCTGCAATTTCATCACGTGTGTTGGAGGTTGGTGTGATGATTGCTTTACCATCTGACGCACGGACCCTGGCGTTGGGAGCAGTGTTCGGCTGTACGCTCCCTGTGTGGCTAATTACTCCGCCTGGGCGGAGTCTCAGCACCCAGCATGGGAGGTAAAGGTCGTTGCACTTCTTAGTGGACTGAGAGCCAGTAAACCATGACTCAAGCAGCTCCTGGCTCATGCGATCGTCACCTCTTGCGAGAATTGTGGCCTCATCGAATTTGAATGTGTGGCCGGATCTCGTCGAATGAGCCGAAACATGAGAGTTGGCGTCATTTCTCGACAATGCTGCATAGTATTCGGCCATTTGCGTTCGGAGCTGTCTTACGGTTTCTCCGACGTAGTTGTTTTGTCCGCAACTGCACCAGATCCGATAAACGACTGCAGACGTTTCTTGCCGTAGCAGGGGTCTTTCGGTTTTATTACCAGACGCCTGGTCGTTGCCTCCAGCCTGTGTGCAACTCCAACCCCAAGTGGCGCGAGAAGGCGACCGACAGTTTCCGAAACGTTCTCGACATACGGAAGCGGTCGCCAAAATTTGGGGTCCGTGCAGTTTGGCCTTTCTTCCCTTTTTCGTATGCGCCGGTTGACAAAGTTACGCGGGCATCCATTGGCTCTGAAGACCCATCGGAGGTATTTTAGTTCGTCAATCTTGTCTTCCGGCTCACTGCAGTGCGTTTCGACACCCCGACAGAGCGTCCTTACACAACTGCGTTTGTGGCTGATTGGGTGGTTGCTGTTGAAGTTCAGTACTTGCATCGTATTTGTCGCTTTCCTGAACACTTTGGTCTTTAGGCCACCACCCTCTTTGCAGCATACAAGGACATCCAGGAAGGCCAGCTGGTTGTTCTCTTCCTCCTCGATCGTAAATTGCATGTCCGGGAAGACCGCATTCAGACGTTCGTTGATCCCTATCAATAACGGCGAAGGTACCATCCACATACCGGGCCCAAACGTCTACCGTGGTGATGTCCTTGATGAGGAAAAAAGTCGCCGATATATTCACTTTGATAGCACAAAGATCGGGTTGCCACGTAAAGAGAAAACGGAGTATAAGGACACTCCTGACCTTAGGCCAGACGTAGAAAAGTGCCCCGCAGTATCAATGGATTTCGTAGCCGGTACTTCTCTTCTCGTGAGGGCACTTACTTTCCTCAACTTGCCTATCGTCTTGCTTATGTTGTTCGCACTTAAATATGTATACGTCAAGTAAGTATGTGACCCTCCTTGTTGTGGTTAAGATCTCACTCGATCGCATTCTATCAGCTCGCCAGATTGCTACTGGGGTCAACGAACGTTGTCGGTAAGCACCGTGAATCAGCTGTCTGCGTCTGACCTGTTGCGCTTTTAATGAGCTTCTTACGTAGTATATATTTATGTATATATACTAATTGCAGGGTGAGCATCCCTGGCTCCCCAAGTTGTCGTCAGACATCTGCGTCTGCCCTACCAAAAGAGGTTGGGAGTTTCTCGAAGCCATGCACTCAGATGAGTCATGCATCAGTTGACATATTGATTTGGATATCTTGTACAAAAATCTCGAGGAAAAATTGAAGATATGAGAGCCAATCGATAAATAATGACGCACGTGACGACCATCTGGTGGCACAAACACCAAACAAATATCGATTTTAGGCAGGTTTAATGTGCTAACTGCTTTAGCACTTTTACTTAATATTAACGATGAACTGGGGGATCAACATCGAACTTTTACAAAATAAAGTTTGTTATCTTTCTCACAAAATATATTTCCTTCGAAATATATATATATATGATGTGCCCCGCAAATGTATACGCACTGAAATATATGAAAAACTGCTCATTAGACTGCATTTCGCTCTAAAGGTGCAGCTAGATCCATATAGATTGTTTACCCACTCTAGCACTGCTTGTTTTCTAAGCTCTGTCCGTTCTGGTCCAGGTATCGTCAATATGACAAAGCGATGGGACCGCAAGCACCAAGAAACTTTTCGCTTGATATTTATGTACATAATGCCAACTTTCAGATTAGTGACCATTGCGATTTCTTAGCACAGGTCTTATTTTTCCAGTATCCCATAAAAGTCTGGAGATATGAGATCTGGTGAATGCAGGGACATCCTATGTAACACCTTTGTTTACTCCACCTGTTTGGCAAGATTTCAGCAATCTAAGATATGGCATCACGATGGTCGGGCAGGGGTGCTCTATGTTACTAAAGACAAGAATTCTCATCTTACAGGACCTCTCCAAATTGCACCCCTAAACCCAACGGGTGAGTGTGTCCCGTAACGCGATCGGTTCCATTGTATACTATCCTGTTCGGCCGCAATAGACGGCATCACAGCTGGTAAATGAGATTTTCTGGACAACTTCTACTCCTATAAACTAGTCAGGTTTGTTTCAGATTAACACAGATACGCTTTACCAGTATGTAAGATCTCGCCCGGTGGCTGATTTCGACTTCTAAATGGTGTTTTTTACTTAAATCCCTCTTTTAATTGGGTTGTTGATATTTCATTCATCGTATCACAAAGTCGAATGGTTATCGACTTCGGAAGCGTGAGGTGGAAGGCACATTATATCCGCTCAACAACTTTCTTCGTCACAGCGTGATAAGCTCATTCGCTTTGAAATGTTGACAGATGTCTGTACGCAGAGACAGGAGGATGACTCACACATTGTAATACTGCCCCTGAATACATATGTAAGCAGTTAAAAGAAGTAAGCAGTGATCCACCTGTCATCCGGTGCAGAAGAGCACCTTGGAAAGAAATTTTTCCATCAAACACTGTTTCGAGAGTGTCTTCAGTTCCCGAAAACATTAAGGAAGGATACTTGTAGAACATTTCGAGTTGGGTCTTTTGACGACAGCAAATGTACCGTTCGCACAATCCTGTCATAATTTAGGGTTAAGTTAGTGAGGAATCGTAGCGTCTAATTTATACAGTATGACTTTCTCCAGATAAAAAAATACGGTTGAACAAATACGGACGTTTTTAGTTGCTGCCAGCATTGCTTCTCAAAGGGCCCAGAGCAAAACCTCCACCGACACACTCATAGTGTAGACCTGAATGTTTTACTTGGATTAGATTTTCGAGGCAAACATCCAGATCAAGCAAGACGACACCGTTATCTCCCTAATTGCGAGTCTGACTCCTTCTGGCTCATATGAAAGCCTTTACAGTCTTTGATGAATTGTTTTTAAAAGCGACACCAACTTCCTCACACACGCAGACTTTACCAGCAGGCAAAACCATGAGGCGTTTATTTTTCCTGAGTTACTTTATGGCCATCTTTCCAGAATCAGTCAGTGCTTTAAAAGTATTTAAGCTTTTTAAGAGCTTCACATTATTATTGCAAATTTTCATCGGCCAGTTTCTGTGATACAACCAGGACCCGCCGTTAAGAATTTTTGTGGTAGATACCCCAAAAAGCTGAGTAGTCGGATGTCCTTCCGATAGTCAAAGCTATTTATTCCTCCCACTAACAGTCTCATAAATTTAATCTAATACGCATCTATTTGTTGCCATCTGCCGCTTTCGTACAATCTGCTCTAAAATCGAGTGCACATCTATAAGTTCCTCTTCATACACTAGAATGTGCCTTCTGTTAGGTCGGAAAGGATCCATTACGTTGTCCGGGTCCCAATTATAAGCGCAATGGGTGCTTTGAAAGGAATGTAAGCCAAAGGAGAATGCTGAAGTCACTAGCGGGAAAGTAGCCTGAGCTAAATCGGGAAAGGACAGCCTGAAGTGTGACGATTCTGCCGCGATAATGAAGGAAGCCCAGAAATCTCAGCAAAAGATTTGATTGACAGGAAACGCGGGACAGCGGCACCCTAAGTCTAACGTCAATTCTACGGCAACCTCGAAAGTAAACGTAAACCGTAACGGAATTATAGATCTAACTCTAACCCAAAATTCAACACTAAACCTAACCGTAAACCTAACACAAACCCTAACCCTCAGCATAACTTTAACCATGACCTGAAACCTAAGGCTAACCCTAGCCACAACTTTGACAATGAACGCAAACCTAAACTGTATTCCAAGCCGTAACCCTAACCGTAAACCTAACTCTAACGCGAACCTCTGGATTTAACACAGGCCCCAATTCTAAAGTCACTCCCAAGTCTGACGCTAACCGAAACCCTAAAAATAGCCATTAGATCTAAACTGAAACAGCAGGTTGTCCTTCTCCGTTTTAGCATCGCTTGCTTTCCCCCAAACGATTTCCGAATCCTGCTCCGGCTGACTTTACTTTCACTGTTAACACTGCGCTTTT